TTGTCTGTTGGCCGCTAGAGAGCTATGAAGTTAGGAACTGCCGAAGTCCATCACATCATCATATCTATACGGATGATTCTCTCCTCAAGAGTGACAGTTCAGCCGGCGCTGTCTTCGTTGCCCTCAACAATTCAGACAGTGTCTGTCTGAAGGAAGCCTTTCGGCCAGCACCGTGTCACGGTTCTCGCCGCCAAAAGACCCTGGTTCGTGACAATTCAAGATTACTATCTCCTATTGGCAAGATCATTCTCAGCCGGTGCAGATGCCTCTTTGTTTACCGTCACAGCCTGTGACTCACAGGATTGGTATCGACAACTCGCGCCTTTGTCCCACATGTGGGATCGCTGAAGACGGCTACCACGAACTAGTTGTCTGCCCCAATACAAGCTCTCGACCCCTATGGCATAATGCTCTAGAAACAATTGACCAGTACTCGGTTTCTCGGGACAAGTTGGTCATCTTATCGTCGGCCTGCCGGTAGATCGAGGCTGCCAGATCTACTAGCTTAGTAGTACTAAGGCGAGCGGTTGATTTAGTTGCTCGCCGAGCTTCGAGTACCGAGCAATGCTCGGTACTCAAAGCTTCATCTAATAGCCTTGCGATTATACGGTTTGTTATAGTCTGATTAAGCGGCTGGCATCGGACTTTCAACCACCACCACCACCACCAACAACAACAACAACAACAACTGCACTGCAGTTACTGCAGCATCGTGAGGTGAGACCTAATAGATCTTTTGGTAGAGGCCCGTAGTATCGACAACGTGTCGCAGCTCCAGTTTCTGGATGGTAAAGTTTCTAGAAGTGGGTAAATCTAAGAAGCATCTGCTCAGTTTATATGGGAGACCCTTGGCCGAGTGGTTGAGGGGACAGTTGCCGGTAGTTCGTTGGGTTATACGGCAGAGGATCTGCCCGCGAGGGTACAAGTGCCTCAGGTGCCGATTATGTGAAGTACCTTGTCGATCGCTTTCAAATTTTTGGAGCGTTTGAAATGCCGCTAAGGAGTAAAGACTATTACCTCCGGGTCCCACAAGTAATACTTGTCAAGTTACCTGACTTTGATCTATCCGACCGTTCCACAGCGTGGTGAGCTCTCGAGTGACTAGAGTTGAGGGTTGGAAGTTTGTCGTCGTTAGACTGATGAGCAGTCCGCTCAATTCGACAGGTTTTCTGGCTAGTGGCCGAGAACGGAGCCGATGGAACATTCCTTTTCATCGATTTCCTTGACTTCCGAACCAAAGGAGTTGAATGCGAATTGAAAGTGTTCTCCTCAAAAATTGCTACCCTAGTGAAAAAAGAGTAGTTTGGACCCCATCGTGAGGGCCTCACGGTGAGGCATGTATCATAAGCAGTGTGGAGGAAATATCCACATAGTCAATTAAATGTGTGGCCGACGATATAAAATTATTGAAGAAAATTCGGGAAATTACCTTACATTCCTACCCTAATTCGTATACAAACGCCTATAATAAGTGAAGAAACTCCTGACTCAGTCCTGGGATCAGCTGAGGGAAGCAAACATATATTCCAACACCGACCATAAGAATTCGTGGTGTTATTTCACTTCATCAATAGATAGCTTGGCTACCACTCTAACTGGTCTCCATTCGCTTCGGCAGTCTTTGTTATTAATGCGGGTCGCGGATGGCGAGACTCCTTTTTATGATGGGGAACATTATAATCAAGATCATGACCGTTCGAACCGTGGCTCATGAATATTAATAATAGTACTTGCAGCTTTTCGAGGCTGCGTTTAGGATTTGCAGTCTCTCACAGGTCCGAACGGTCGACGGCGAACGACTGTCTTGCGGATACCTGCACAGCTAAGTCAGGGTGACGCAAGGAAATCCAAGCTTATGAAGGTTGGTCATAACGTCCAAAGGTGTCCGAGTCCCGACTCTCGCAAGGAGAGTCTTCTTACAAATATAGTCGCACGATGACTTGATCTTCAGCTCATGCAATTTTGCCTCTTGATAGCAAGTCCCACTTGCGATGCCAAAATCCTTATTTATTGAGCGTCGTTGTGTTGTTAATAAATTGGTAGTGCAGCGCCACTGATGGTCTCAGCCCGATTCGTTTGGCCATGGAATACTAGGCGCTCAGCTGCAATGCGGGAGTTTAAGGTCCTGTGTCGATATGCCCGTTAATTGTAGGTTGTGACAATCTGATTGCTTACCGAATCGAACCTTGCTCAAGTTGAGCTGCTCATTCCATGGGTGGTAGGCAAGAACCTCCACTTCTCCTTTGCATCAGTTCACACAATTAAATTTGGGCCCCAAATTTTAGGGTGAGCAGCCTGTCAGCTGTATCTCCTAGATCTACCCCAGGTATTGCTCCGACCACTGTGATTATCGCAGTGATCGGAGCAGTACCGATATGCGCGCGTCGCACGCCGTGCGATAGTCTCGTATGATAGGAGTAATTGTGACGACCCAGCGGATCGTCCTCGTCTTATTTGTAGGAGTCCCAGCCGATGACCACTGAGACCTTTGGATTCCGAGCGGTCTGGACAGCAGGATAGCATCTGTGGTCCTCAGGTTGCGGACCAGAGAATTCTCCATAGTGAAGTAGGGATTATGAAGTCCAAGCGAGCTGCTACCTGCCGCCCATTCCGCACGGAGGAGAGTATCACAAAATCTTGGCACGCATACGCTTGGCCCGATATCTCCAGTCGTTTCAATGTGTTGCGCTCGCACCGTGTTCTCTCTCATCACATTTGGATAATACTTATCTCTCTAGAATCAGTCTAATCGATGAGCTTCCTAGCCGAGTGTTCTGTCCTTCAGTTCCCCAGTCCCAACTTCTCCTATGATGGTTGCCCACGCTTATACCGTGTTGTCTGTTTTCTCTCTGGTCTCTCTGACGTGTGGAGCCGAGAAGACCTATGGGGTGGATCAAGTTGCGCGTAAGGACTCCGGGCCTACTTATAACAATTGTGACTTCTCTATTTCCTCATCAGATCCCAATAACATGGGAACCGTGCGTGGGGTCTCGGCTATCAACTTAGATACTATTAGACAAGATTATGAAAGTAAAGTAGATACTAGTAGCAAGGATTACATTGATCATCAACGTATGTTGGCTTCTGATTCGACTCGTGGGCTCAGTGAGATGAGCTCTTCGACGACCACAACTGGATCATCTACAACTGTCACCTCTCCGGCTTTGATTTCAAGCACTACGTCCTCGACCTCCACTACTGGGAGCACTACGACTAAGGCCTCTACAACCACGAGCACTACGACTACGGCCTCTACAACTACTACCACTACGACTACGGCCTCTACAACTACGACCACTACGACTGAGGCCTCTACAACTACGACCACTACGACTAAGGCCTCTACAACCACGAGCACTACGACCCAGATCTCTACAACTACTACCACTACGACTACGGCCTCTACAACTACGAGAACTACGACTGAGGCCTCTACAACTACGACCACTACGACTACGGCCTCTACAACTACGAGCACTACGACCCAGGCCTCTACAACTACGAGCACTACGACCCAGGCCTCTACAACTACGAGCACTACGACCCAGGCCTCTACAACTACGAGCACTACGACCCAGGCCTCTACAACTACGAGCACTACGACCCAGGCCTCTACAACTACGAGCACTACGACCCAGGTTTCTACAACCACGAGCAGTACGACCCAGGTTTCTACAACCACGAGCACTACGGCCCAGGTTTCTACAACCACGAGCACTACGACTAAGGCCTCTACAACCACGAGCAGTACGACAAAGGCCTCTACAACTACGAGTACTACAACTGAGGCCTCTACAGCTACGAGCACTACAACAACAACAACAACGACTACTACTACTACTACTACTACTACTACTACTACTACTACTACTACTACTACTACTACTACTAATACTACTACATCAACGACTACGACTACGACTACAACAACGATTACTACAACTACAACAACGACTACTACAACGACGACTACTACAACGACGACTACTACAACGACGACGACCACGACTACTACAACAACGACGACAACTACAACGACGACCACTACTACAACAACGACTACTACAACAACGACTACGACTACATCAACGACTACGATTACAT